TTTTTTTTTTTTTTTTTTTTTTTTTTTTTTTTTTTAATATTAATTGTAGAGTTAGAGAGAAAAAATAAATACAAATTTGGAAGAAGAAACGAAGACAATTATTATTGTACGAGAATTCATTATGTTCTCTGAATATTTTATAAAATCAGAGACAAGAAGTTGCAGAGAAAAGTATATAAAATTTTATAGAATATAAAAAAAATTTTTTGGGATATCTCTTTTAAAAATCACGAGCCATATAATGTAAAATATATATATAATTAATTTCTCGTTACCTAATTTTTTTATCTAATTAATAATTAACAATTTTTTTGAAAAATGTATACGATTATAATACGTGATTTATATAACAGTAAATGGATCTTGTCTAAATGGATGTTTAATCCTCATCTCAAGGAAGGGAAAAATTAAAAAAAAAAAAAAAAAACCAAAATCCTTCCATTAATCACCTTAAAACTTATATCCCCAAACTTTATTCCATTTCATCCTTTTGAAGACAAAAATCGAAAAGAACTCTTCTCTCTTTCCCCTTCCCCTTGTATTTTTTCGAATTTCGATAAAATAAAGTTTTAAAAAGAAATATTTGTCGAATGAAGAAATGGAGGAATAATGGAACAAGCGAACGAAAAGCCACGGTTGTCGATTCGTTTAATGATCGCAATTATTTCTTAAGCAAACTCCTATTTCTCTTTTAGTGTGGTTGGCACTGTTTAACGAGGATACACTATGAAATGAATAGAAATTTCAAACGTTAATTTTAAACGTGTATTATATTAAACTATCGACAGTGAATTTTTTTAGTATTCAAATTTGATCAGAAGTTTTTTGATTATTTGCTTTTTAATTTATTTCGTAAATATTTCGTTCGTTACTTTCGTTCAAATTAGATTAAAAAAAATTTGAAAATGAAAGTGCAATTTCATATTAATTTATAAATTGTTTTTTTATTTATATAAATATTGGAAGTTTCTAAATTTTTGCTTAATTATAAATTTGCACAAGGTATCCATTACTTCAATACAATTCTTTATATGTTTCGATCTTACAGTATGTAAATTATTCTATTTCTTTTCGAACGAAGTGTTCAAAAAATGAAATTATTTACAAAACTACGAAATTTTAACTAAAATTTAAAAATTTATTTAAAATATCCATACTTAAAATTTTAATAAATTATATCTTCTTCGTAAAAATCTCAAAGGAAAATCATAAATAAAATTGATAAAAGAAATATCGTTGAAAAAATGTTATCTTCAAAGGATTAAATATCCAATGATATAATGAAGTGAGAAAAAAAAAGAAAGAAACATATATAACTTAGCCCATTATGACTGCATTGCTATTCCTCTCCTCACTTTTCAGCCCTTTCCTGTCTTTCCATTCTTGCACAAACAGCCTGTCATTCCACGTATCAATCATTCCCAATTGGTCATTACGAAAGATCGAGAGAGACAGTGTGCGGAGCCATTCTTTTTATCGAGTTTATGCGAAACCAATATTTCGAAGATTTGGATATTTTTTTCTCCAATATCAAATTTCGTTCCATATATTTAAAAAAAAAAAGAAGGAAAAAAATTAGAGAATTAATTTTTGAATTGGAATTAAAGATGATTTTTGAAACGTAAAATATATAATAAATATTGGAATGAAACTTGAGAGTGGAATATATTGAAATTTTTAAAATTTGAAATTAACTCAGAGATTATTAAATTCAATTTGTATTATTAAAAATCCAAAATCTATAATATTTAAAAATGACGAATATCGATTAACAATTTAATTCTCCCGAATCTAACATATATCTAAAAATAAATATAAATTTTCGAAATAACTACACGGAATCCAAATTATTATTTTATAAAACGAGAAAATTAACTGAAGCTACTTCTCCGTTGTTACAATCTCCGAATAATTTAGAAAAGTGACTCTCATCAAATCTTACAATCACAAAAATAAAGTCAATCGAAAAGACGATGGTTGTAGGAAGCAAGCCAACAGCACGAAGACTCTTTCGTCAGCACTTCTTCTTTCATTAACTCCTCTTTCTCCTTCCCCCTCCATTCCTCCCATACGCACACACATCTTTAGAGATACCGCGGCAAACAACTAGAGGAAAACCACTTTAACAACTACCAACATCCCCCTGGCACACAGAGAGCAATCGAACATCCCCATTTAAGATGATAAAAGCGACTAATCCAAATATAGGTTTCCGCTTCCTCGCTCTATTTCTTGCCCTCCTCGTGTAAGGACGAGCCTGGTAAATGAATTACGCGATCTCTCGAATCAGGTCGACAGAAATTACGCGAGAAGGTCGGCTCTCTTTCCTCGTTTAAAACAATCGTCATCACGCTACGAGATTTTATTAAAACGGCATTCCGAACGCTTACTTCCGGTTCGAGGAAGCCGGATGTCACTCGAGGGAAGTAAGGCTAATTAAGTTAATTAGAAGCCGCGTTGCTTCTTTCGATATCCTTGAAAATATTTCGAAATAAATCTTAACGTGAAACGTTTGATGTATTTGTGATGTATTTGTATTTTTTTTTTTTCAATTTTTTTTTAAATTGAGTATTTTTCGAAGGATTTGTAAAAGAAAATCTTTGTTTAATTTCAGTCGTGAGATTCATCATAAATTTTGATTAAATATGAATTTTTTGAAATGTTGTTATTATGAAAGTATTTAATATTTATGAAACATTTATAATTTGAAAAATTCAAAATTTTTTAAATATTTCGAAAATTGATAAGATTTCTGTTTCCAGTTGAGAAATGCTCAAGATGATTCATAAAAACGTGATATTCTATACATAATTTTTCGAAAAAAATCAACCGATTTTTTGATCGATAACGCAAAACCAATTTTTAAAAATATCCTGAAATAAATCCAATCTAGAATACTTATACCCACATTCTTCTATACGCGTATTTCAATTTATTTATCCGATAATTATTTCACGTTTCAGCATGCAAAATATTTTGCAACAACCAACAATATATTTGAAACCATGGACACATAACACCCTATCCATAGTACCTCGAAAGAAGAAGGATTAACCTGAACACACTGAATCAAATCAAATGAAATCGCTCGTAAAGCAGTAAAATAATAACTATCAAACACAATTGTATCAATCGACTCGATTGATAATAATTAACAACAATTAACGACACCGACACAAGACAAGTCACTGAACAACCATTATGTAACTCACGATACGAGACGTATAAAAAAAAGAGGGAAAAACACTTTTAATTCGAAAAAAAAAACACGATCGATTTACCGGATCTTTAAGGTTAACTGCGGTGGAAGGAAACCGGTCGCGGACCGGCTGCTATTTCCTCACGCACGTGTTACTCGACCCCACGAAAGTCACTAGGCGGCCAGTAGCGACCCCCGCCAGTCGTGGAGGAGACGGTGGGTGTGAGACAGGATGCCTGAACGTCTGCCTATGGGAGGGATGGCGTTGGTGGGGGCATGAGAAATAGTGGGGTGGAAAAACAGGAACAAGCGGGCAAGAGGCTGGTAGAGTGGGGCGATACCCCTCTCTGACAAGAGAATCAGACAAGAGAGGGATCCATCCCTACTTTGTTCCAGTCTGCAGCATCCCCACCACATATCCACACCCACGGATTAAAAACCGAAATCCTTTCTTTACCCCCTCTAGGTATTCATGATATGCTTGTTGGATGCTGCGCAGTCTCTGCACTTGTATCACGGAACGGACTTTCTGTGATAAAGCTTGACAATACTTTTCTGGCATGGCGAGACGATTATGCGAAATGTAATTTGATAGTAAGGAGATTGGAAGATGGAAGATGATGCGAGAAGGATATAAGTTTGGCTTTAGGAAGTTTTAAGTTTTGGCTTTTGAAATCTAAATGAAAATGATGAGAATAATCCATTGAATGATATTGATAAATAGATTGGTTTTTGATAAAAATGGTATAAGAAGTTATTTTGGATATCGATTATATACATATAAAATTTTTCAATTAAATTTAATTTATATACAAAATTTATATTAATTTTTCTTTTTCATATATTATTTTTTACTACTTGATATACTATCATATAAAATTATAAATAGAATTTTATTCTGTTACAGAATATCTTGAATGAACACGAATTACAAGTTTAAGAAAGCGTGTTCAATTGACATCCTGTATCTCGTGTAATCACGTGCCAAAAGTATAGAGAGAGAGAGAGAAAAGATTGTAAAAGAAGGACAGAGATAGAGTAAAAATATTGAAATCAGCGCCATCTTCAGAGTGCCGCAAATGAAACACGAAAAGAAGGATAGAAGATAGTAAGAGAAGGATAGTGACATAGTAAAAACGGACTCTTAGCACCATCTTTCGACAATTTTTCAAAAATTAGTTTGAGTTCCAAAAGCAAGAGATGGCGCCAAATTTCACTTTTTATCATTTTATAAGCTTTTCGTATCATTTCAATTTTAATATTTTTCGCTTCTCTGTTTGATTTTTTTCGATTTATAATTAAAAAATGATAAATAGAATAAAAATTCGAGATGAAAGTAGAAAAATAATGAAAAAAATTGAAACTTATATTTTTTAAATAAATAATTATAAATTAGAAAATATATCTTGATACGAAATTATAATAAACTTAATCTAATTAATATTCATTTATTATCTAATTAACATCATTTTCACTAGTACCTATAATCTATCAATGATTAAGAAAAAGAAAATCTAAATAAAAGTAGCAAAAGAAGTGAAAATTTTTATTTTTCGCTTTAACTTAGAGAATATATCTTGATACGAAATGTTTATTTAAACTTAATCTCATTAATATAATTTATTAACCTATTTTACTAGTACCTACAGTCCAATCTATCTAATTAAATAACTAAAATTATGCAAAATTTAGACTGGACTGCAAGTATGCGTAGTTCTTGGCTTGCCATCGCGTTCCGAAAACTATTACTGATGAAATATTTCTAATATTTTTTCTTTTTTTCAGGTAAAAAAAAATTTTGTAAAAAAAAAATTTAGAAAGCGATGCCAATTACCGGGTCTCACCGACGAGGAGGTGACTACGCATCGAGACCCATCTAACAATTATTGAAATTTATTTATATTATATAACGAAAGAATGAATAAATAAATAAATGATATAATAAATTAAATAAATAAATAAATATAAAAATAAATGAATAAATAAATCTAAAATAAAAAAAATAAATGAATGAACAAATAAAAGTATAAATTAATAAATAAAAAAAATGAATAAATAAATAAATGATATAATATATTAAATAATATATTAAGTAAATGTAAAAATAAATGAATAAATAAATTTAAAATAAAAAAAATAAACGAATGAACAAATAAAGTATAAATATTAATAAATACAAGTAAAAAAGAAAAAATGAATAAATAAATAATTGATATAATAAGTTAAATAAATAAATAAATGTAAAAATAAATGAATAAATAAATCTAAAATAAATAAAAATTTAAATAAATGAACAAATTAATGAAAAAATAATATTAATAAATGAAAGTACAAAAAAAGATGAATAAGTAAATCAATTAAAAAATAATTATATATAATACATGACAACAGTATTAAATATATATAAAATAATATTAAATTTAGTTAAAATATTTTATTTTCGATCTGTACGCTATCTACGTTCGATACGAAATGATCGCTCTCTCGCGACGTGCGTATATTATAGGACGAAACAAATATTACGAAGTTCGGCGGAAACATACGTACTCTACCGATTTGTTTGAAATTAATATTTTGAATATAGTGGTCAATAATTTAACAATTTTTAGATTTTTATTGTTAAATTATGAACTTAACAATTTTTTTACGATATAATATGTAATAATTAATATATATTTTTATAAACTAAAGTTGAATTTACATTTTTCCGATATTAATTTTCGATTTATAATTATTACAATATTTTAACTAGTATTTTACACGAACAATAGTTACAAAATAGTCGTAAATGGATTTATAATGGTCAACAATTTGTCAATTTTTAAATTTTTATTGTTAATTTATGAATCTAACAATTTATTATGGCATTATGTTATAATTAATATATATTTTTACGAATTAAAATTAAATTTATTATTTTATGATATTAATTTTCAACTTATAATTATCTTAAAATATCTCTAAAGTTTTTAGAATTTCTATTTCAATTTATTTATATAGAATATATAATTATTATTATTATTATTATTTATATAGAATATATATATTATATAGAATATATAGAATAATATTTTATAATAATATTTTAATAATAATTATACTATAATATATAATATATATATTATAACATATATTATTATAATAAATCTATATATATGTATATTATAATAATAATTAAATAAAAATAATATTACAATAATATTCTTATAAAATATTATTATAAAAAATTCATACATTTAATTTGAAATTTACTAATCGTTCCTATTGAATTTATATTTGAATTAAATAATTATATTCGAATATTTAATTCATCGTTAAAGCATGTAACTTATCAATTTTATGAATACACGATTATATAATGAAGTTATATATTCGATTTAACTTTTATTCACCGCTTTTTAAATCCTATTATCTTCCAGCATTAATTGATTGATTTTTATTTAAAGTAATTACATCAAATTTAATCAAATTATTTGAAATAGAAAAAAATGAATGATATCATTCAAAAATGTATATTAAAAAATTTTAAATAAATAGAATAATAATTTATTTGGTAATAATAATTAATAAATAAAAAATTAAAAATCGAAATCAAAAAAGAAAGAAATAAAATAAAATATAAATAAACCAATAAATAAATAAAAAATTAAATGTATAAATGAGTAAAAGTAAATGAATAAATTAATAAATAAATAAAAAAATTAATGAATATTGTATAAATGTACTTGCAATATTTTTGTAAACTAAAACTGATATTACTATTTTATTTTTTTATTTATTCATTTATAATCACTTATTTTATATAAAATTTTAATAATTTATTCTACTGTTTATGTATTTATCATTTTTTTTATTTTTTATTCTTTTATCATTTATTTCTTCATTTATATAATAACTCATTTATTTTTTTTATTTCTTTATTTATTTATTTAATAACTTTTATAACTTAATAAGTGTAATTTCTAGATTATAGATAAAATTCTGAACGATTATATTTTGTCTATAATAATTTAAGAAATTATAACATATTTAACATACATATATATATTTTAACATACATGAAATATAACTTTAAAAATATATGTTTTAGGATAGGTTTGAAATAAAAAGACACGGCAATTCCCCTCCACAGTGTATTTGGTGACCTAGATTGCAATGAAAATATTAGATATAACATCGATGTACGAGATAGTTTTCAATACGTTACTTAAATATCTATAATATAAGATACACATATTGTATAAGTAGATGACATAATATTACGACTTCATAATATTCGACTCATTTACTAACAAACAACATTTAATATGTATTTTTACTTTGTTTTTCTTTTTTTTTTTTTTTTCCTTTTTATACATGTAGAATATTATAACGACATTGACAATATATATATAATATATCTGTTTCTTTTTAGTCGTAGTGTTACAGAATATAATAACGCGTGCGTAATTCGAATGTCACGAAATCTATTTACGATCTAAATAAAGAATTTTCATCTCTTTTTCAAATTGATTTCATTCGATAGGCTCGTACGTATATACATCGATCAAATAAATCTCTTTCGAAAATTGTCGTAATGTTCAAAACAAACGATTCTGCGACGAGAGGTTATATGAAACATTCTTCATCGATATCATTCAAAGAAAATGAATACAATAATATTGATGAAAATAAAGGAAAAAATCAAAGACAGCGCAAAACACGAAGCGTAAAAGCAGTAATGATAGTATTGATGAAGAATAGTTTTTTTCGCTTGTTTGTAAAAACACGACAATCAACGAAGAGAATCAACTATGATCGCTTGTTTACAATAATCCTGAGTGTTAAAATTTATCTCAAAACAAGTTATTTCTCAGCTTCTGTATACTCGATTAAAAATCATCGTTAAAATTCATTTCGATCATTAAAATATAATTTTAAAAAACACGTATAAACATATAAATTTTCCGCAATAGATTAAAATTGAATCCATTCGATTTTTAAATTTAAATTCTTCTCTGTGAAACATACAATTATACAGACGCTGTGTTCTATGTTTCGAGCATTTTTCGAGCATTTTTCTTAAGTTTTTCTTTATTTGTTTCCCATCTTCACTGTCGATAGTTATGTTTTTATATCGCAACGGTGATCGACGTTGGCGATGTTTGATCTAATTATCTAATCCTTATCAATATTTTAATGATTACTTTAGTACGCGTGATTCGCGACGAAAAGCGTAGCATTGCCAGCAGCTCCCATTACACCACCGCTATATTTACCGAGTGCCGATTCGCTGTTAGCCTAAAAAAATAAAAATATAATTTATTATTAATAAGAAATAACAGTTTGTTAATTATAATTAATATCTAATATTAAGTATCTAATATTACTATATTGTTAGTATATTTATATGCAATATAAGTGAGTAAAAGAAATAAATGCAAAACTATCTATGACACTTACTATGGAAATGTTTTTTTGGAAAGGAAGAAAGGAATTTAATAGAAATGGGATGTTATAAAGAGAACATCATGTGCAGCTTTGCCAGCAATACTTCCAGCTTTATATTTGCCTAGGCTGGCTAGACCATTTGCCTAAACAATCATTTAATGTATATACATGCAAAAAAGAGATATTAAAAAAATAAAAATAAAAAATAAATAACAATTATGTAAAAATAATGAATAAATTTAAATAAAATAAAATAGAAAAAATTAAGAATAAAATAGGAAACATAAGAACACATATAATTATATAA